GTTTTGTTTTGTTTTGTTTTATTTTATTTTATTTTATTTTATTTTATTTTATTTTATTTTATTTTATTTTATTTTGAGACCAGGGGCCCAGACTGTAAAAGCAGAATTTGTGTTTCAATGCGAGGATACTACATGTTTTCTTTTGGATTATCAAATGTCCGATTCATTTCTTGTGTTTTGTTTGCTGGAAATCCCATTGAGGTTTTTCTGCGAATATGTCACTCCCAGCCCCATTGTGTCTGTCAACAAAGAGCTGGAGGCTACATGTGTACGCCTACTATAAATACAACATATCGTGTCTGCGCAACCAGCAAAGCTGGCAGTTACTCAGGAATTCAGAAACCAACTCTATGTGCTAAATATCTGTACTGTTTCAACAATTTGATAGGTATGTAACAAGGTGAATGACTCAGAGCAGCAACAAAGCAACTGAAGGCACTCACTCATCAGCTGGAGGAAACCTGCACCAGTAGAAAACATGCAGGGTGTTGTCCAGAACCTTGTTATGAATACCATACTTCCTTTTATCAGTGAATCTGCCACTCAATAAACAATCCAGATCTCTCTAGATAACATCTGTCTCTTTGTGTTCCCCATCTTACAGCACAAACCTTTCATCTGAGCATCAAGAAGCTTTAAATGCAACATTTAAACACCACCTATGTGACTTTTCTTTGCTACTTTGGCAGATTTTGCTAATATTTAGAATCACCCTTCATTCTGCAACTCTGAATAATTATAACAAAAAAAGTCTCAGCTTGTGCTGAAAACATCTCCATGGCATGATGTTGCCACCACCATGCTTCAGAGTGAAAACAACTGATTCCAAGACACTGCTCCATGACCCAAATGTTCATGTCTAACATTAAATTATAATTTGAACAAAAATAACAACTAATTAGCTAAAAAATTGCCACAAAAATTCCATTTAAACCCGTCAGTGCAGAAGACAGCCTGTGTTTAACACTTACTTTTGAACAATCATTATATCTTTAAGTCTGAAGCCTTAATAGAAGTAAAATATTTATAGCAGACACTCCCTGATACCACACATATTTGGACCATGGCATTAGCCTGAAGCACAGTGATGCAAACATTACACAGAAAATAATCTTCATGCATGTCTAGCAGCTACTAGACAGAGTAAATGACAGTTTTGAGTTTTACCATTGTTGACTGGTGTGTTTTCTAATTCTTGGTTCTTCCTCGCCACCCAGAAGGGAGGAGCGCTGCTCAGTTCCACCTCAACAGGATAGTGATCACTCACTCTAAGAGCCTGTGGGGAGGGGTGTGAACACAAAAAGGTGAATATTCTTATCAAAGAAAATACGTTTTCCTATCTAATTAGAGGGATGGCTCACCATTTGTTCTGTCACGGCAAACTCCTTTTGGAAGTTGAACGGTTTGGCCGTGTTTGGCACAATTGCAGCCAGTAAGTTTTTCCCATATACAACAATCCTGCGACGAGGGTGGAGGAAAAAAATCATTACTTAAACTCGTAAATTCATGTGACAAAGATGTGAGAAACAGTCCTGTCAGAGATTTTTGCCTGTCATAAGTGTGATTGGTTGTTGTGAGTGGTGTCCACATCGACAACAATCAGCCAGTGGAAATTCTTGTCAGTGCGAATTCAAATCTTTTCTATTTCCCTTAGAAGTGACGTACGGATTATCCGCTCTGAAGTCTCCCAGGATCATTATGTTCTAGAGAAAATCAAAAACAGCAGACTCACAGTTACCAATTCCCCCTATTATCCTTTACTTGAACACAAAAATACAGAAATATCACTGAAATTTAATTTTTAAGGATGCCACCTTGTTACTATTCTCTGAAACAATGTCTTGTATCTCATTTCTTGGAAATAAAATATGCAAATCCTCCACCAAAACACGTAGCTTGATCAGGAATATTGCGCTGTGACTTTTGATAGGGGTACACCACACAACGTGGACAGGTGTGGGCCAAACCTAGTGTCACTGCTTGCGGTCTGGTGGCATGGCAAGTGGTTTGCCAACCGCACGTCGTACAGGTCTGGCAATGATAGCGCTGTTTTTATAAAATAATGCAACAACTGGCCCAGCTGTGGTTTGGTTTATGTAGCCCAAACACTGTGAGAAAAAGAATAGTGCTCAATGGGGCTTTGGCAAAACACATGAGAACAATCTAGCCCTCTTTGGAGCTCTAGAAATCACAGAGAAAGTATCAATCAGAGTTTAGACCATGCCACAGAAAGTTGGACTGTACATGGATGAACTATCATCTTGAAATTTTTTACAGTTTTGATTGTAGAGCTATTTAATTTTCAGGGATTTTATCAATTTCACCACAGAATTTTTAACGGACAGTTGCTGATGTCACTCACTCTTATTTTTTAACTAAAAAAACCCTTCTAATGCCCACAACTGCTTTAAGTTCATCAACAAGATTCTACATGAAAACTGAAGTATTTTTTATTTCCTTTGACCCAAAGAGTCTGTCGCTGCTGTAGAACAGTTTTCTTTCATTGCAGATGATGCACATCCAAATTTCCAGACTGCAAATATCTTTTGGTTCTACAAAACTAGAAGTACATGGTCTTTTCACTCACACAAAGTCCTCACACACTCACACAAAGTCCTCTGCTGCGTAAACATTTTTTAAACTGACTCACAATCTTCAGAAATGTTTCATTTCACAGTGTTATTCTCTTATAATGAACAAGTCATGACTTCTGCACATGTGGTAACGTCTGTGACCTGATGATTATCATTCTTACATCAGTTCTCCACTTGTCTCGAACCATCAGCAGGACGTCGTACAGCTCATCCAGATCCCCCTCAGAGTGGTGCGGCGTGATATGGACCGGGATCAGCACCAGATCCCTCAGCACTGCAATAAGCACAGCTCAGCTCCTAACCTACAATCATCTGTGATCACTGCGTGAACACGTGTGGGTGAACACGCACAAACACACGAGATGAACAATGAGGTTGACAAACCTGCCGTGGACTCCTAACTGATACGTCCAACTAATTGTAAATTAAACTCCAATTGTATAGGCGTGACTCATAGTCTGCAGACATTATGCAACAAAAACCGGTTCACGGTGCTGTGATTAAAACAAGAACAGGGGACTGGCCTGTGTGGCGAGGTTTAAAGTAGAGAATGGATGGTTCTCTTGCAAATGCATCCATGTCGTTCACCTGACTGCCTTCACATTGGTAGGAGTCAATCAGATTCATTACACCATCCCTAATATATTTGCACAGGGAAAAATAAGAGTATTTCTGAGCAGCTGCTTGTTGTTTAGACTCCTGTATATTACAGCCTGATGTATGTACAGGGGTTAGACAGTGAAACTGAAACACCTGGTTTTAGACCATAACATCCCTTTCAGACAGCTTCCTCTTGCGTCCACAGTTAATCCTGTTGGATGTGGTTGGTCCTTTTTGGTGGTATGCTGACATTACCCTGGATACTGTGGCTCTTGATACATAAAGACTTGCTGTCTTGGTCACAGATGCACCAGCAAGACATGCACCAACAATTTGTCCTCTTTTGAACTCTGGTATGTCACCCATAATGTTGCATTGCAATATTTTGAGTAAAACTGAGCTCTTACCCTGCTAATTGAACCTTCACACTCTGCTCTTACTGGTGCAATGTGCAATTAATGAGGACTGGCCACCAGGCTGGTCCAATTTAGCCATGAAACCTCCCACACTAAAATGACAGGTGTTTCAGTTTCATTGTCTAACCCCCTGTAGTTCACCTGTAAAGAAACATGAACTGCTCCTTTTATCTGTTCCTGACTGCTGCTCCAGACGGGAGCTGAGCTGCAGGGCGTAGTGATGGAACCTGTTAACCCTGAAACATTCTCACAATTAATTTTAGCGACAAGTGAATTTTACTGTAAAAAACAAAACAAAAAAAAAACAACATAAACTCACTTGTTCAGTTCTGTCATGAGCAGTTGGATGGAAGCTCCGCTCACGTCCACCACCTCCAGAATAACTATAATGTCATATACACATAGACACATTCTGTAAAACCAAACAAAAGACTTCAGGATTTGTGTGAAACTGAAGAGAAACAGAAAGGCGTTGAAATTTTCACTAACACATGGCAGGCGTACTTTTATTTTTCTTTCTAATGCACTTAAACCAGCTTTAATTACTGCGAAACGATAAAAAATGTTTTCATTTTCAGATTTGAAGGGACAGTTGGCTGCTTCCCAAAAACTTGTCAGAAAAAGGAGCATTAAATTCCTGCAACAAACCCTCCTATTTAAATCTGACAGAGGTGCTGTTATCGGTTCAGTGAATCAGAGGAAGAAACGTTTTACCTTAATGAGTGCTGAGAGGACAAGTGGATCCGAGACCTTTGTCGATCCAAACCTCTGTGAGTTGAATGCAGCCACCATGTTCATTTCAAAATAAATGGGTTTCTTGGCTGTATTTACCTTGGTTAGATGTTTTTTGCAGCTTCGCTTCGGTGGCAAACAAACTTTTAGGTTCAATCTGTGCTGGTTGGGTAAGAAAGTGTCTGTGATTGTTTTAAAGGGAGGTGTGCAAAAAAAGAGCATTTTGGCATCAGGTAGTTAGACCAGTTCTTTTGTTTACATCTGGGTGTGATTAGGCAGGTTAAGGCTTTGCTTTATACTGTATGGGTAAAATTTAAAAAGTGAACTCTCCTTTACTGTTAAGGCTTAACATAAAAGCAGCAAAGAAAATTATATGAACATTCAAATTGTAGCAGCAGCATCATGAAATATTAGATTAGATTTTGTTTAATACAAAAATCAAAGCAAAAAACAGAATGTGTGTAAAAATAAAGCATGGCAAAAAAGCATCAAACAGCAGCAGCTGATCAAACATACTGAATAATAATAATAATTTATCAGGAAGTGAGAGCATCTCTATAAAAACAGAAGATTTGGCAGTTTGATTTTCTGGAGTGTTCAGGTCTGAATCATTCAGCACAGCAGGAAGCCCGAAACTGTCTGGCAATATTCCCCAAGAAGCAACAACACAGTTATTATTACAAAGCCTACAAAAAAATAAAATAAAAAAAAAACAAATAAAAAACATAAAACATCAGATTAAATTACTCATATGCATAATTAAAAAAAATTCCTAATCATTCTGTGCAATAATCTGCATATTTTAAAATAATTATTTATGGTCTTTGCATGTTCTTATCAAAATAATCTTGTTTTTTTTTAATGTAGTGTCAGATGAGGTGTATTTTTTAAGATAAAAAAGTGTTAAAGTGTAAAATGCCTCACTTTAATAGCCTAAGAGCTTCAGAAACACAACTGCAGTTCCACTTATCTGCACATGTAACATGAAAACAAGTCTGACTGTGTTAAATTTACTCTACAATAAAAAGATCTCTGACAGCTGCAGCAAACCCTCAGCTCAGCTCAAATGTTGTTAAATTCTGAGTTTTGTGATAGAATCATCATACTTAAGTGGATGAAAGGAAGGGATATTTATCAAAGATAAGTGAGCTCAAATTTTTTTAAAAGAAAAGAACGGCATGTCAACACCCAGGTGCAGGAGTCAGAGGGCCTCATGATGGTACTGCTGATTTTATCATCCTGCAGCATGTTCTAGAGTAATATCAGTACAGAAACAGTCAGACAATCAAAATGTGTGGCACATTATGAAGCACAAAATGGACTGTTGAGCAACTGTAGTTATACATTGTAATAGAACTAATACTTTTATGTTTAAGCAAGTAATTCATGACATCCTTTAATGACCTAGGTTTTCATGACATGCTGTTCTTCTGCAGACAGAATGATTAAAGTCAGAACAAGATTTGCTAACAACAGTCATTCACTTGTGTTTATCTTTGTGTTTCCCATTGACCTTGTATCAAATCTTGCTAAGATGACATAATGGTGTTTGTTAATATATACATGAGGCCTCTCGAGACAGGGTTCAACAGCAGGGTGGAGAGACAGTGACAGAGAGAAGCAGAGGCACAGAGACAGGCCAGGTTGTTCTCTGTGTTTCCTGTTGTTGCAATAAAACTCAGCTGATCATCTCACAGGGTACCTTCATTCTTGGACCACGTATTTCTGTCTTTGTTAAATAAATATTACCATAACATACATCAAGCAAGAATGGGAAATAATTCATCCTGCAAAGCTTCAACAGTTAGTGTGCTCAGTTCCCACTTATTGAGTGAGTGTTGTTAAAAGGAAAGGGGAGGTAACACAGAGGAAAAAATCTCCCAGTTTTTCTGAAACATGTTACTGGCATCAAACTCAAAATGAGTGAATATTTGCAAAAAAAAAAAAAGAAAAAAGAGAGAAGTTTATCCGTCTGACCATTAAATATCTTGTCTTTGTAGTGTCTTCAACTGGATATAGGTTGGAAAGAATTTGCAAATCATTGTTTCCTGTTCTAATTGGGGTTGTCCTTTTAGAAACTCTAAGAACCACAAGTGAACCTGCAGTCAGAGTGCTTTGTTAGGAAAATATAGAACAATAGGATCTTTAATATAAGATGGAGCTTGGTTGTGGAGATCTCTGAAGATTGTAAATAATAAAAAATGACCTCAGGTCAAGAAAAACTGTCTTCATGCTGCAGAAGTATGTTTTATTTCTTATACTTGTTTATTAGAGGTTGGTGCGGGAGTGAGCATATTTGTTAATTGCTGATGTGAAAATGTGAAAAAAGGTTTATATATATATATATAAATATACCAAGGGGTGTTTAAGAGTGATGAGGCTCTTTCCTTTCCATTTCGTCTCAAACATTTCAGTGAAATACTCAGAGCGTGCGCTGAGAACACATCGGTGGGCCGGAAATGTCTGTCCATGAACCAGGAACTTGACATCACTGTGCTGACCTTGCTCTAACAACCTGAAAGTAAAATGCAGAAATGCTGTTCAACGGCTACAAAAAAAAAAATTATCCACCCCCAATCAAGAAAGTAAATAATTTGAGCCTTACATGTGCAGGAAGTAGTCAAAGTCATTCCTCTGCATGGCAATGACACTGACACACTTATAATCTTTCAGCAAGCGTCGAATGGAGTCGTTGAGGGAGCCGTACACACATCTTTCACCGTCAAACGTGTTGGCCTCACACTTGGCACCTGGGTGTGATGTGAAAAGAAAAATAAATATACAAATATCTGCAACATGTGTACTGTCAGTTAAACCAATAAAACACTATTCGTACCACTAGCCAACAGGTACTGGACCAGCTCCTCGTGACCACACAGACAGGCATAATACCTGAAGAAGAAAATGCTAGAAGTCAAGTGTTTACATTAATAATGTGAAAGGGTTAAGACTGTCAGCATCGTACTTACAGAGGGGTGCTGTCCCATTTATCTCTTACATTGAGGTCCACATCTCTTTGCTCAACAAGGTATCTTTGCAGAAAATAAAAAAAGAGGTTACAGTGATACACCTGTGTGTAACTAACAAAAACAGATTGGACTGGAGGCCCCACACTGAACAGACTCGACTAGCTCAGGTCCTTCAGTATGTGCAACAAGATGACAGCGCTCTTCTATCAGTCTGTTGTAATGTAGAAGGTGCTCTGTGTTATGCTATGGTCTGTTAGAGGAGCAGCATTAGAGCCAAAAACACCCACAGGCTAAACGAACTGATAAATGAAAGCTGTCTCCATTAACGGCTGCAGACTGGACCAGTTTGAAGCGGTGGAGAAACAATTTGTGTTACATTACGCTCCAAACAAAATGTGTTGCCTTTGATTGCAATAGACGTTGTCTGCGGCTTTTGCACTTTCAAATTTTGCACACGTTAAGTCATATTTTGCACAGTTTCATTCCTGTTTTAGTGGTTGTTTGTACAAACTTAATTCATGACCATTTTAAGCATTTTTGCACAGTTTCATTGCATCCTTTTTAATCTGAAGTTGTACTTTTTGCCTCTTGCTGTAACAAAGACAGTTTTCAGGCTGTGATCAACAAAGTAAAACAAAGTATTAGTGACGTCAAGTGCAAGTATGAGCACAATTTACTACTTGTGCAGCTTTCACTAATAATATACTTACATAACGTGCGATATACATTGTGCATTTTTGCAAAACAGAAATGACACAGTTTTATGCTAATTAATACCACCCTCTGGTTTTAGTGGCTTCTGCTTTTATCAACAACAATGACACCATAGCTCTACACAGCATTGATTAAAACTGTTTATTTTTATGGACAGTATAAATATCCCACAGGGCTTATCTGACACTGACAGTCACGTGTAAAGTGAGCAGCTGACCTACAAACGTTTGGTAACCCTAAAACAGCTGGTACATCAAAGCTAATGTTTGTTAGCAACTTAGCTTTCCGCTCCTGCAAAGCAAGTTAGCTTACAGTCCAAACAGCCCATAAGTTAAGACTAATATTTTCTGAGATAACAATAATAATTAAATGTGAAGGTTATGAGACGTTTAGCTCATAAAAAAAAAGCACGTCAGCAAACCTAGTGGTTCTGTTCTCTTACCTGACCCTACAAATGTCGCCCTTTCTGCAGCTGCTAAATAAATCGTACGCATCCATGATGGCCTCGGTGTGGTCGGTCCTCTGTGATGCATTGAGACGGCCTGTCTACCGGACAGGAGAGCGATGTTTCTGTGTAGAGTCAGATACTGCACGGTGCACGCTGAGAAAGTTGCCAGGCTCCCACACTGTCTGGAACAATTTGTTGACAACTTTCGACTCCGCAGTGTTTTGGTCGGAAGAGCCCGGTCACGTGACTGGAGTGTGTTTACTTCACTTGACGCACAGAAAGACGGAGAGCTGAAGCAACGCTCCTCTCTTGCTGATGTTTGGCTGCACAGTTCTCCTAAAAATAACTTAAATATCCATTGTTTGACAGCATAGCGATTTAAATTTAATTTAACACTTTTGTAGGAGATTTAGTTGCATAAAATTCCTGGTATTAGAGATAAAAACTAAATATCCAACCTTACGCAGGTGACGTGAATGCTCCAGACGATGTTGCATTTATGTGTTATATGCTTAGAAGCATTTTACTGGAAAATCAAAAACATGCCACAGCAATTTCACTTTTTGTTATCATAAAGTTTTCTCTAACTTTGTTTTTTAATTGTTTGAATCAAATGAAAATGAAATGAACCCCACACATAGGCTACTTAAGTACAGTATGTCCTCATTCACATGAAAACAATTAATGCAAAATGTGCAGACCACAATTCATGTATATACTGTATATATTTTAACTTAGGAATATAATTCATTTTACAATGTAGAATCAAAACATCTAAAAATTAACGCAAATCTCTCCATTTCATCTCTCCTCCAAGAGACTTCTTCAGTCTGACAGTTTCAGGCAAAATTCAGGCTTTTGAGCCCTGCCTCCATGTGACTGATACATCACATGGCTATCGTTGACACCTAATTAACACCTGTTGTTAACAGGGGGTGGAATGATACTGGCAATAGTAGCACTGTAGGAGGGGGCCAACTGAAAACGGAGGCATCCACCTCTGTTTAATGATGGACGGTCTTTCTTCACAAAAATGGCTTCTTTTACTCCTCTCTCAAACCAACGTTCCTCTCNGTAACCCTTTTTAGCTGTCATTTTTGTTTTTTCAGAGTGGTGCTGAAATACTTGTAGCGGCTCACTGCTTCTCTTTGGCTTGAACCACAAAACAGTGTGACAACCCAAAGGTGTGGGCGGAAGATGACAATCATTTGATGAAATTGATAAGTCAAAAGAAAGTCAAAAGGAAGACAATGAGAGCGAAACCTGACGCCAAAGCACTGATTGGTATGCCTCCGCCTGCCCTAGACAGGTCTGCCTTTGAAGAAACTGACAGTTTTATATTACCAATCACCATGAATGACCTTGACCTTTGACCCTTTGATGCCCAAATCTAATCAGACTGCGTATTACTGTAATGGAGTTACTATGCCTATTTATAAGTACATATAATTTCATTCAGGAGATATGGTGCACACAAGACCACCCGTGACACAGACATTTGTTTGTATATTTTAAGTAGTGATACTAATCTAAAAAAACATTAAAGGTGACTTGATAACTGATGTTAGATTATGTTTAGGACAATTTATCACTATTCGTCCCCATACTTGAATCCCACTAACGACCTATCTTTGAATTCTCCGTTTGCCTCAAGTATCCAAACACTCGTCATGTACAACAAGCTGCACGGCCAGAGCTGTAGAGCGAGATTATGTTCCAGTGAAACAGGAGAAAGGACACATATTTTCAGCTGGGGTAGGTGGGAAAAAAGTGGCATGCATCTGTCAGACGGGTTAATCCACATTCACACCACACCTACGTCTGCCATATAAAGCTGTCAAAACAGGTAAAAAATTGCACTTCAGAGCTGGACGGTCTGAACGACAGCATCATGAGTCTGAGGAAGAAGGGCACCGGCCACTCCAGGCTTTACTCTGCAGGAGGCTCTGTCAGCATACCTACGGGATCCAACTCCAACCCTAAGAACAGAACCAACGATCTCGTGACCCCTGTGACCTTCAACAAGAGCCTGCTGGACCCTGTGAAGACAGAAATCGACCCGGCCATACAAGCTCTTCGCACCGAGGAGAAAGACCAGATCAAGGGTCTCAACAACCGCTTCGCCTCGTACATTGAGAATGTGAGATGAGGCATCCCGGCAATTCATGCCTAAAAATATGTTTAATGCGTCAAATAAAGTTGCTTGAAGTTCAGGGGTTAGGCTGAGTTCTTGCTGCTTCTGTTTCAGGTTCGTTTGCTGGAGCAGCAGAACAAGCTGCTGGAAACCAAGTGGAGTCTGCTGCAGCAGGGCACCGTTAACTGCTCTGAAGTCGAGCCCTTCTACAAAGCCTACATTGCCGCCCTGCAAAAACAACTGGACGCCCTTGATAATGACAAATTAAAATTGGACACAGAGAATCAAGCTGTACACAGAACACTGGATGAGTTCAAAACAAAGTGAGACTTTTTTTCGTTTTTTGAGTTTATTTTATAAAAACACGATAATGCAATGAAGATTTGCGTGCATAATGTCGTATTCTGGTGCATTTCAGATACAAACAGGAGATCAACAAAAGGGAGAATGCAGAGAATGAGTTTGTCAAGCATAAAAAGGTGAGCACCACACCCCCATAAAAGAAAACTCTTTACATTCTTGTTTCATTTTCAACTTCACAAGCAGTTCTTTGGAACTAAACAAATGCAACAATGAAAGACTGCTTAATTTTCCTCTCCTCCGCCAGGATGTGGATGAAGGAATTCTCTCTAAGGTGAACCTAGAAAGCCTGCTTTTCTCACTGAAAGATGAGCTTGGCTTCCTCAAGATGGTATATGAAGAGGTACACTGTTCCACTTTTGTGAATTTATGATAAAACAGTGTTCTGGATTTTGTCCTCTTGAGCTGACTGCACGTGTCGTCTGATAAAAAAAGGAGCTGAAGGAGCTGAAGAATAGCGTAAAAGACACGTCGGTGGTGGTGGAGATGGACAACTCTCGTAACCTGAACATGGATCAGATCGTGGCTGAGGTCAAGGCTCACTATGAGAGCATTGCTTCTCGTAGTCGAGAGGAAACTGAGTTCTGGTACAAGGCAAAGGTGAGAGTTGGATGATCCTGGGTCAAAAACAAATGAGTTGTTGTCATATGAATATAGCTGCATTTCAGTCATTGCATTGCATTTTTGGAGTTCTGCACATCTTATTACATACTATAATAGTACAACAGTATGTTGCTGTTTCTTGTGTCACGTAAAATCTTCTTTACAAATGTTTTCCACCAGAAATGTCCCTGACAAACTTGGCAATAATTACAAGTTTTTTTTTTCACTATCACCCCCCTGCCACCAGTTTGACCAGATGACAACTAAGGCGAACCAGTATGGCTATGAGCTGCGAGCTAACAATGAGGAAGTAGCTGAACTCAAACGACTGATCAGCCGCGTTCAACGTGAAATTGAGAACGTGACAGCCGAGGTGAGCAGAGGAAAAAAAAAAGCACCATCGTTTTAAAATGAAGTGGAAACTGGGTTTAATGCATGCTGCTTGACTGCATTTTACCTCTTCCAAATGCAGCAGTAGTATGTGAGTAATGGCACTCGGCCAGTTTCGTCTTCCTGTTGTGAACTTGTTGGATTATCTCTCGTGTGCAGAATGAAAAGCTGAATAGAAGCATCCCTGTTATGGAAACCCGAGGAGACCAGGCGGTGCTGGATGCTGCAGCCCGCATCAAGAACCTGCAGGACGCTCTGAAGAATGCCAAACAGTGCATGGTCAAACAAATCAAAGAGTACCAGGAGCTCCTGAGTGTCAAGATGGCTCTCGACATCGAGATAACCACCTACAAGAAAATGTTGGAAGAAGAGGAAAAAAAGTGAGTTAAACCCACCGGTGTAAAAATAGAAAAAATATATATATTTCAGCAGAGTGTACCCTGTGATAGCTGGTGTTTCCTCGCAGCAGAATGTTGCATTCAAGCCATAACAGCTGTCAAAATATGCAACTTTTCTGTGTTTTTAGGTTAAATTTTTGTACTTCTAACACAATTTCTATTTGGGGGTTGATGTAACTCAAACTCATTACGGGTTTTAAATACTGTGTTAGAAAACAGCAGTTTTTTTCTTTGTTTAAAACTAAACTATTTTATCAAAACAATCTGTCACGTTCTGAGACTGTCTGAAGTTTACTCCTCAATGTTTGAATGTAAACAAATGACTCATAATTGTTGGCAACAAAGCATGACCGACTATTTCAACAAGATTGTGTGGTAGACATTTGGTATTGACTGATGCGAGTTTAGTAATTGTACGTGTTTACAAAACATTTTAAAAACACAGAAAACTTGAATATTTTGATGATGATCATGGCTTTAAAAATGTGCACAATACTGCCCCCTAATGGCGGGTTTCATCAACCACCCATGCAGAAGGACTCAAATGCCAGTTGAAAACTACTACAAACAAACAAACAAACAAACAAACAAACAAATAAATAAATAAATAAATAGTGGAGTTTTTAATGAGCCAAGTTGAGATTTACATTTGACTACAGTTTTTCAAAGGAGTAACCAGACAGGGACCACTGATAATCTTGGTGTGGCACATCAAAACCAAAAACCACAACAGCATTTTAGGAGTTTAATTCTAATGTTAATTATTATTATGTTGTTTTTGTTAATGTAACAGGGGCTCCACTGGCCCCTCTTGTCCTCCCTTGGTGACGCCCCTGTTTGTGTGTGCAATGCACAAGTAAACCAGCATTTTTGTCATCAGCAGGCTTTATAACATTTATAAAACCTTTAGGCTTCATAATCTTATTTTTTTCACCTGCAACATCACTAAGTTTCCATTTAAGTGTTTGGCTTCAGAATATTTATCTGCTTTCTCATTGACAGACTTGTATATGGCTCTGTTTACAACATCCAGTTGGTGCAATCTGTGCCCACGCCTCCCAAACGTGAGTATAATACAAGATTAATCTTTTAAACAACTTTAAATAAGTTAATGTTGGCTTTGAGTTGTGCCTTCTCGTTCTACCAAAACAAAAGTAATGTCAGCTAAATTATCAACAGTGCTTAAAAAGTGACATCAAGTCTTTGCCGTGTGTTTAATTTACTGTGTTGTGCTTTTTGAAGCTGTTCAAGAACAACCTTCTCCGCAGCCGCAAGCGAAAACCCTTCGGAGGCAAAAGTCAAACCCAGTTGTCATCAAGACAGTGGAGACCACAGACAGATCCTCCTACAAATGAGGACCTGCTGAATCCCCACAGACCTCACATCCTTCTTCTTTATGTTCAAACCTTTGTGTTATCTGCTGTAAGCTAATACTGATGACTCGTGTTGTATTTGCTTAATTCTCCTTTGGAGGGAAGTTTTGTGTGCTGAAAATAAAAATCTTTTTAATGACTCTTTATTTTTCATTGGAAAGAAATATACTGTACATTTGCACATTATCATTACCTTCACCAGGTAATCCTTGTAAAAAAAAAAAAAACAGCAGCAACAACACTAATTTTGCAAATATTCTGACTTGTTTGTTTTTGACTTGAGGAAACATGTCTTACATTTCAAGAGTAAATTGCATGTGAGCTGCAATAATATCAACAGGCTGCTTATTAACAAAAACAAACTCACATTTTAGCCAACATTTTTCTGACTTAGGCCTACTGTCATGAAAAAATAAATCCAGACTGAGAATTGTTTTTACCTTTACAAACTCATCAAGCTTTGGTCTTTTCAATTCATAAGACAAAGCAAATTTAAAAAACACAAATAAAACTCGTAGTTTGTGCTTTTTAAACAGCTGTCATCAACTAAAACCTTTAAATATGTAAAATGGGTAAAGTTTCTACCAAACTCATCATATTTTCACATCTGCTTCACTGGAGTTTGACGTTCGTCGCGCAGGAATATGACGTAAAACGCGATGTTCAATGAAAAAAATAAAACTAATTTCCTCCGCTGCTCAGTCAGTAAAATGGCGTAAAAAAACAACAACATGGGATTTTAGCCTTTCTGATTTATAAAACAAAAATCTAAAAGTTTTAATACGACCCAAATGGATAACTATGTGTCAAGTCAGAAATGCGTCTTTACAAACAACCAGCTACAGCCAGAAAAAGCCGGATGTCCCAGCTTTTTCACCAGCCTTAAACGCAACATATTTCCGGATGTGTCTAGTCCTAAAGTGACACTTTTGTGAAGACCTTTGAGACTAATTTATTCTCTCTTTTTCTTGTCTTTTTGTGTCTGCCCAAGAAACAGGTTTTGTATTGCATTTCTTTCATCTTTTTTCGAAACTCTGTTCAAGTAACAACACTTTGTTTTGTTTCTGGTTTCAATTGAAAATGGCTGAATTATTTTAAACATGTATAGTTTTTTTCTGTATGCTGTATTAACAGAATGGACAAAGCTGCTGTGCTGACTCACATCCTGAGGTCAAAGGTCAGATCTACATGTCTTGGAGGGGACTCACCTGTCAGTGTGATCAGCAGTAAAAAGTATATTCCAGCTCTCACCGCTGAAGCTCAGGACCATGAGAGTATGTCTTCTGTGGATCACGCCATCCGTGGCGCTCTGTCTGATGGGACCAGGCTCGTTGTACTCGTAGGTCCAGAGGGATCAGGTAAAACCACTGCTCTGCAGAAGCTCCTGGTGGACTGGGCTAAAGGGGAGCACCTGCACAACTTCTCATTTGTTTTCCACTTCCAGTTCAAGGAAATGGATTCTCTCGAAGGTCAACTCTCTTTGGAAACTTTAATCCAATACAGTCGCCATCAGGTTCACTCTGTGCTCCGGGTCGTGGAGAGGCCCGATGATGCGCTCTTCGTGTTCGATGGTCTGGATGAGTACAGTCACAGCTTGGACCCTGCAGGTCGTGCCCTCTGCTCAGACGCAAGCCAGGCTGCGTCGGCGCCCCTTTTACTGGTCAGCCTGCTCCACGGGTCCCTGCTGAAAGGAGCCGCCTTTCTTGTGGCGACCAGGCCGACGGGAAACCTGAAGTTTCTCAGTGGGGCTCGTGTGGAGGCGTTGGGGTTTCTGAAGCCTCAGAGGGAGGCCTTCTTTAACAGCTTCTTCGCTGACTCCTCTGTAGCCAGCAGAGCTCTTCTGCACATGGAAAGGACTCTGGGGTTTTATGATTTCTGCACGTCTCCTAGATTTTGTTGGACAGTCTGTTTTGTGTACAGGTCCCTGATTGACTCAAACGCAAAGCTTCCTGAGACCCTGTCCCAGCTGTTTGTAGAGATTCTGTCCCACCTGATTCAGAGCACCTCACTGACTCAGGACTGGAATAGAAAGTTGGTGTTGGCGCTTGGCAGGATGGCCTCTTACTGCTTTCTCGACAAACATTCAAGATGTACCAAAGAGCAAATAAACTCCTTTGGTTTTCAACAATTTCTTACCGCTTTTGCTCCTTTCTTGCGAGTAGAAGCTGAGCTGGAGACCGTTTCCTTCCGTTCCCAGCTGATGCAGGAGTTTGTCTTGGCCCTAGCTTTCTTTCTAGATGGGTCCGAATACGAAGATGTGGAGAAGGTGCTGGATAAACACAAAGGCGCTGCAAAGTTCCTCGATCTCTTTTTGTCCGGTCTCTCGGAGCCCGAGCAGCACAGGCCGTTGGAGACCCTGGTGGGGGAGTTGGATCCGGACCAGATGAAGGGTTTCAGAAGCTGGTTGAAAAGCGGCTCAGAGGAAACGCTGAAGGGTTACGACAAAAACAAACACTACAGATGTTTCCGTCTGCTGCATCAGGTGCAAAACGCCAGTCTGGTGAAGGAGATCGTCCCTCCCCTGGCACACGCATGCATTTATCACAGGAACCCGGGTCTCCAGGACTGCGTGGCTCTGAGTTATGTCATCGTGTGTCTTGGTGAAAGGGACCGGTTGAGTGTGAGCGGTGCAACGGTAATCAAAGAGATGATGGAAGTCTTGGCTCCAGCTTTGAGTCTGTCTCACGTGGTCGAGTAAGTAAGAATAATAACATTGGGAGCGAATGATTGCTTTGTTTGTACATTTTTTATTTTTGTGTCCTCAGATTGTCAGACAACTCCTTCCAAACAGAAGCTGTTCCTCGTCTGGCTTCAGCTGTCAGCTCGGGAGTCACCAGGGAGCTGAATCTCACTCGTTCACACCTCGGGGATGAAAAGCTGAAACGTCTCTGTGCCGGACTTAAAGACAGCAAGCTGCACAGATTAAAGTAGGAGGGACTTGTTTATATTATTATCACCTATCTCATGAACCACTAAAATTAGTTTAAAGGAATCCCTGATTAATTGTAACATTAGACTTTATTTGATAAACATATATTTTAACTGTAAAATAAAGACTAAAAATACTGTAGGCTGTTTAGTTTTGTCAATTTTTAAAAATATATTTTAACATGGACGGAGCATTTTATTTACACACAAAGCATTCTGGGTAAATGATGATGTGGATAGGTCCTCAGTGTGAGCGAGCTATATCCACCCTGAAGGTTAATCTTGGACAATATCTGATGATCGACTCTTTTAAATGAAACCAGAGAGGAGAAGGTAGAAATGACTCAGCCTGTAACTGAAAATATGGATGGAGGACAACAGAGCTGCTTCATGGAAGAACCTCAGCTTAGCCTGTTAGCCTTCGCGCTAGCGCCAATGCTATATTGCCATATATGTATTAACTCAGCGCTAGCACCACAAACAAGCTAAACTGAGGTCCTCCATCCATATTTTCAGTTGCAGGCTGAGTCATTTTTGCGTTCCCCTCTCTGTCATGTGGATGGAGGACCTCAGTGACGAGAGGAGAATGTGTAGCGCTGACCTAATACATATATATGGTGATAGCATTGGGGCTAACACTAAAGCTAACAGGCTAAGCTGAAGTTCTTCCATGAAGCAGCTCTGTTGTCCTCCATCCATATTTTCAGTTCCAGGCTGAGTCATTTCTACCTTCTCCTCTCTGTCAACGCTCTCTGGTTTCATTTAAAACAGCCAATCATCAGATATTGTCCAAGATTAACCTTCAGGGTGGAAATAGCTCTCTAGCAGCCTCGCACCGAGGACCTATCCACGTCATTATTTACCCAGAATGCTTTGCGTGCAAACAAAATGGCCCCGTCCGTGCAATATATTTTTAAACTTTTAGTTAAAAATGATAAAAACTAAACAGCCTACAATATTTTTACAGTATTTATTTTACAATTAAAATATATGTTTATCAAATAAAATCTAATGTTACAACTAATCATGGATTCCTTTAATGAATATTTCCCAAAGTGTTCATTAGGTGTCCATCTACAACTGACTCATTTCTGGAGCCAACTCAATACATGACGGCTGCTGCAGCTAACTAATCTAAAAAGACACAAACATAGATATAATTCAGTCAGTTTTGCAAACATTGACCTAAAATTTGGTTTGACAGCAGCTAAGAGTCCTTCCCATCACACATTCTGAGCACCAACAGATTGCACAGGATCTCTTTGAAATATTTTCATTAAAAGTCAACGCTGACTGTTGCAAAATATCTTATTAACCACTGAGTGAATTTTAATGAAACTCCCACAAAGTGTTCATTAGATATGCATCTACAGCTGATTAATCTTTGGAGCCAACTCGATTCATGATGGCTGCTGCAACTAACTAACCTTAAATAACTAACCTTAAAAAAATCACAGTAATATATATATATATAATTCATTCAGTTTTGCAAATATCAACCTAAAATTTGATTTGATAGTAGCTAAGAGTCATTCCCATCACACATTCTGAGCAATTTAAATATTTCCATGAACTATTTGATATCAACTCTGTCTGTTAGCAAAATATCTCATGAAGCACTGTTCAGATTTCAACCAAACTTTCAGGAGCTAATCCTTGATTGTACCCCTACGACTGATTAAGTTTTGGAGTTAATAATATCTACGATGGCCACCACAGCCGACTGACATTTGAAAACGCAAAAATGGTTAGAACGCAGTCGGTTTTACAGATACTGGATAAAATTTAGTTCTTGCACATACCATTCATTTAAAATGCTTCTATACATTGAGATTTCTTAAAGATAAGAATGCGTTTCACTTTTTATTTTTAGTCTTGGCAGCTGCAGACTGACGGCGGCCTGCTGCGATGACCTGCTCTCTCTGCTGACCTCAGAAATCTCTCAGCTCCAAGCTTTAGAAATCACCTTTAATCAGATCGGGGATCGGGGCTTCAAAAAACTGTGCAAAGCCATGCACAGTCCTCTCTGCAGACTGCAGGAGCTCCAGTATGTACTGAAGTAGTGCTGTTCGCTGTGGAAACCGTTGGAGGTTTGTAACTTTTTCTGATTTTGCGCTTTTAAAAGGATGCAAACGTGCGACTTGACTGCAGCATCCATGGAGGATTTTGCAGCAGCTTTGTGTTCGGGGCATTCGCAGCTGAGAAAAATAAACTTGACACACAACACAGTTGGTGACAGTGGAGTGAAAGCTTTGTGCAACGCCCTGAAACACCCATTTTGTAAACTTCAAAGTCTCACGTGAGTTAGTGTTTCAAGATGATAAAAGCAAAATTATTGCCTTTTCTTGCAAAGTGATTCTAGCAGCATTGTATAAAAATGTACATCTAAATGAAATGCAGTCATTTGCAAACCTCATAAATCCATGTTTTATTCACACTGGGACACAGAAAACAAAAAATACTAAAAACAGTGTTTAATTTTTAGAAAAATTAGGGTAATTTGTGACAGGGCCATAATTTTTTCTTTTATTTGTTTTACAACAGTCCATAAATGACCAGCTGGTGAAGTTTTTGGAGGAGAATTTTCTCTCATATTTGTCTGATTTAGAGGTCTGGCTGTTCAGCAGTCCTGGATCTTTGCTGGATTCTTTGTTTCATGATGCACCAGGATGACTTTAGTCGGTGAGAGGTCTGGACTGCAGGCAGGACAGTTCAGCACACCTGGACTCCTCCACTTCAAAGCCATGCTGCTGGAGTGGATGCAGTATGTTTTGCTGAAATATGCAATGCTTTTCCTGAAAAAGATGTAATCTGCATGGGAGCATGTACTTTACTTAATGGTTTACGGGTCTAAAAGCTGCGAGTCATAGGAACTAATGCACCCCCATACCATCAGAGAGGCAAGCTTTTGAACTGTGCACTGACTTTGGATTTAATAAATTGTAGTCTTCCCAGTTTTCCATCGAGGAACGTTACCTTGAAATCGTTCTACTTTTACAGTTTTTGTTTTTTTTTTCAGATTGGTGAATCTCCGCCCAGCTTCATTTGTGACACAATCAGACTTTCTAAAAAATTCTTTTTATATTCAGTCGTCCTACTGACCTCTTGCCAATTAACTGAAAAACAGCCTTTTGGTTCCCCAGTTCCCATATTTTGGAGAAATGTTGCTGCTAACAAATTTTAAATTACCTCCTATTTTTATTTATTTTAATTGGTACAGTTTCTTTTTTTTTTTTTTTTACTTTATTCATTTCTTTAAAAAAACAAAAGTAATTCTGTGTACAATAAAGAAAGAAAATACATCATTATTTCAACATTCCATTGTGAATAAAATATTAGATTCTTAAACCTTCAAGTCATTGCATTTTGTTTTTATTTACAATCTTCCAACTTTGTCAGAATTGGAGTTGTAAGGGCTGAAACAGTGATAGTCATTGTCTCTCAATTTTTGTGCTTTTTAATTTTATTTTTCTCACATTTATTGTAGATTGTATGACTGTGGCTTAACGGGTGCCTGCTGCTCCCATTTGAAGGAGGCCTTAATGTCGGAGCACTTCTCTTTGTTGGAGCTCGATCTGTCACTGAATGATTTGGGGCAGGAGGGGGCGCTGATGCTTTGCCAAGGCCTGAGTCGACCCGGCTGTCCCATACGAAGTCTCAGGTAGGACAAAATAACTCATTAAAGCTCTACATTTTCTCAAATATTCAGATAAAATCATAAACCTGCACTGCTTTGTTTTTTTTTTTTTTTTGTTGTTTTTGTCACCTATCCCTACAGCTTGACACGATGCGAGTTGACCCAGACCGTCTTCAAGGAGCTGGGCTCATTGCTGAGAAGTGGGTCGTGTCAGATGATGTTTCTGCTCGTAGGCCTCAATAAAGTTGGAGATGAAGGCGTCAGACCTCTCTGGGATGCCGTCTCACATCCCAGCTGCTCGTTGGAGGAGCTGAAGTGAGTTTACCGAAAACCGTCCTGACAATCCCCCGATCAGGTCATTTGAATTTAAACTGCTCTGTGACAGTGTGGAGATGACCCGTTTGACCGACGCCTGTGTCGAGGACTTGTGTGCTGCTGTCAGAGGCAGCAGAACTCTGAAGCGCCTGGAGCTGAGGAACAACTCTCTGACCGATGCCGCCGTCCCGGCAGTGATTCAGGCGATGAGGGACAACCCCAACATGGAGGAGCTGAAGTAAGACAAGACTTCATTAGTCCCACAAGTGAGAAATTCAAGTTGTTGTGGCAGCGGACAGTACAAAACAACAAACAATAAAATAAAATAAAATAAATAAATAAATAATAAATAAAAGCAATGATCTAATAGAAATAGAAATACGAAAAACAAAGAAATGTATGTATAGAATACAGATGTGCGCATATACGTATACACTCCTGATCAAAATCTTAAGACCAGTCAAAAAAGTGCAAGAATTTGCATTTTGCACTATTGGATCTTAAGAAGGTTCTAAGTAGAGCTTCACAATGTTAAAAGAAGAAATCAGTGCGAGAGACAAGAACTTTTGAGCAGGGAATTTTCTGAAAACTGCATTTACACTCAAACATGTTTTTTTTTCAGCTGATCAAAAGTTTAAGACCATAGTCTTAAAAAAACCCGAAAACCCCCCAAAACAGAAATCAAAGTGTCAAAAAAGGACTCAGTAATGAGTAGCTCCACCATCCTTGTTGATGACTTC